AGTGAAAAAACTCCTTAGGCATTGTTCAGAAGTCTAGGGGTTTGAATGCCATCTATTAGCTGAGCGAAGGCCGATTCTGAAGTTAAGACACTTTCTAGGCTGACATAGGATTTGTTTCAAACTACCTCTGATACCGAGTTTGAGTCAAGGAGGCAGTTTCAACGAAAGAAACTCACGACTAAGGCCAGATTTTTCCTAGCATTTGCACTGACCTTGATAGTGCACTATTGTGCGGGCTGATATGATCAATTTAAGAGGTAAATGGCCAAGTGACTCACGCATATACAAAGTCCCGTATATGATGACCGGGTGCGTTAACTTCTCGCACCTTTGGCGTCGGTGGCAGTGGAAACGACCTCACCCTCTCCGCCGTCTCCACTCCATGAAGGCCGGATATCTCCTCCGAGGGGAACGGTATGTCCGGCAGGAGCCAAACATTGTCCAGTCTCCTTGAGCCTAGGCCCTTATCCACCACTGCATTTGGCTTCGTAGAACTTTCCACGCGGGACGTGGTGGCAACGTCAATCCGCTCGTAAAAATCCAAATCAGAGGCCTCGTTCTCATTGGTAACTTGGTGCTTTCTATTCTCATCCTCTTGCTGCTGCTGTTGACCGTTTCCCCGGTTAGACTTCCACAACTTCATTTTCCCAAACAGAAACCCACCGAAAGTTGCGGTCACCGCCTGTGGCTTTTTTGGCTCAAGTTCCAAAAAGTCAACCTCGCAGAGGCGGTCCGGTATGCTGGTAGTTTCATGGATTATGAGCTCTTGTGGACCCTCTTTTTGTGGTGTTTCTACCACCGCATCTGGGCGGGAGATGGAAGAAAGGAATAGGGTGGGGGTATCGATAACAGCCTGGTTTCGGGCTCAAAACAGCAAACGAAAACACCAACCTTCTGCATTACGGAACCGGCAGTAATAGGAGTTGATGGATGGGACATATCAGAAGAAATAATTAAAATGTAGAGCGAATAAAAGTCTACAATCACAGGAATAACTACTTAAATAACCTA